GGGGGGGGGGTGTCCAGAAAAATGCTAACCACCCCCTCTGTAAAACTAAGTCCACTTCTTGCGTCCCCCCCGGATAATTTCATTTGCCCCCCTCCGGTTAATTCTAACCACCACCGCCCTCCTCTAATCCCTCTCGCGCGCTCTCCCCCATAACTATTGCTTTGCCGTTCCTTTGGCGGAAACGGAACGTTTACACCGCCACCGAATTTTCTGTTACGTGATTTTTCCTTTCCGCGAAAAAAAGGTGAAGGAGAAGAAACCCTTCTCTTTCTCCGAGGGTTTTTTCGCCCACTTGTTCTTAGCATTCGGCTACATAACGTCAATCTCAAGTGACGTGGTCAAACTGGCATGCGATACAACGCATCGATTAGGTCAAAAATCTCGGCAGATTTTGAAATTTTAGCAAAACAAAGGACGATAGCCCCTGCGCATCATTCTGAACCCCAAACTTGACAAAATTAAGAGAAATGCAATCACAGTGGTGTTTGGAAAAAACACCTCGCATTCGATTCAGAACACACATTTTTATTGCTCCAAGAGGGAGCCGATAAATGATCCTGCCCGCCTTTGGTAGGGATCGCCCATCCAAGGTTCGCCTTCAATTTTGCTGCTTAGGCAATATATGAATATCACGCAAAATACGTTACTCCGACTGAATAATTTCATAGAATAAAAATAAAAATGCAGAATGAAATTCCAGTGTCAGTGGCTATCATTTGTGTCTGGTAAAGCCCATCGTCGATGTTCCAACGCATTTTTCTACTTTTCTAACTTCGCGTTTAAGTCTCCGAACATATGCGCGGTCGAAAAAACTTAGTACGTTGAACGATTGTACCTTGTGATGTATGATTGATACCTGCTTGCCCATGAGAGATTACGATTGCGAATAGTTGCGTGCTCCTAGACCCACAAATACTTTAACTGGCATCTTTATAGCTTCTGAAAAAGTAAATCATACGCTGGAAAATTAGGCTTGCATGTAGGGACTTTTCAACGTAGCATTCTGTTAGGGTCATCCCCGGACAGCTAGGCGACAGTGCTGCCTCAGGTGGCAATGTATAGAAGTACTTAACATAACACATTCTACACCCGGCACTCACTTTGATTAAAGTGACTGTAAAGGGAGGGTAACTCCCTTCATATATATTTTTAGTATCGGAAAGAAGCAGGGGCGGACTGGCCATGGGGGCGGGGAAGCGATCGCCCCCTAACAATTTGCCGCGGAGGTCCCGAAGGGGCCCCCGCGGCGAATTTTTTTCGAGTCATTGTTTTTTTCCCGTAATGTTGTAACTTTCTTATCCTTTTCAATCAATTAAAGGCCCCGAATTCCTTGAAAATTTTTCTCTAAGAGACATGTCAGGTCGCCAAAAGAATTTGTGATGAAGGGACCCCCGATGAATCCTGAGAATGGGTTATTTTGAAGTTCAAGTACTGTAGAATCCAACTCCAATAATGCCTACGTGTTTAAAAAGTGTGAAATTTTCAAAATTTTCCGGGGGAGGGCCCCTGAACCTTCATAGAAGGGCCCCCGAACGACAGGAGGGGCCCTTACATTTAGGTCTCCTCCTAACTTTTCGACTACCAGTCCGCCCCTGTGTGCCGCTACTGCAGTTTTGACCGTTAAGGCCGTAGTTTAAGGGCACTAAAACCAGGATTGTATTTCGCAAACAGATAATTTTTGCAAAACAATTAAAAATTAAGAATCCGGAGTAATTTAACTAAATAATAAACGGAACTCAAATCTACAGTATAATGCAAACAAATTTGGAAAATCTCGTCATGTGAATACATAAGATTCGTAAACGCCTTCAATTGAAGCGTGATACCTCACGCGTTCCGGGGAGTTCAAATAGTTGTATCCCTGCGCTTGAGCAAGGCGATGGAAGTTTAATATTGAAGTAGCGTCCCGGTTTGGTTGTTCGACTTTCCTGTGCCGCTACTGCAGTTTCGACCTTTAAGGCCGGAGTTTAAGGGCGGTAAAGCCGGGATTGTACTTCGCAAAAAGATAATTTTTGCAGAGTAATTAAAAATTAAGAATCAGGAATAATTTAACTAAATAATAAAAGGATCTCAAATCGACAATATAAAGCAAACAAATTTGAAAAGTCTCGTCATGTAAATACAGAAGACTCGAAAACGCCTTCAATTGAAGCATGATACCTCACGCGTTCCGAAGTGTTCGAATAGTTGTATCCTTGCGCCTTAGCAAGGCGACGGAAGCTTATAATTGAAGTAGCGTTCCCGCGTTGTTTTTCGGTTTTCCTGTGCCGCTACTGGAGTTTTGACCGTTGAGGCTGTATTATAAGGGCGCTAAAGCCAGGGTTGTATTTCGCAAGTGTATAGTTTTGGCAGAATAATTAAAAATTACAGAGCAGGAGTAATTTAACTAAATAATAAAAGGATCTCAAATCGACAATATAAAGCAAACAAATTTGAAAAGTCTCGTCATGTAAAGACAGAAGATTCGAAAACGCCTTCAATTGAGGCGTGATACCTCACGCGTTCCGGAGTGTTCAAATAGTTGTATCACTGCGCCTTAGCAAGGCGATAGAAGTTTAATATTGAAGCAGCGTCCCCGATAGGTCTTTTGGCTTTCCTGTGCCGCTACTGTAGTTTCGACCGTTAAGGCCGTAGTATAAGGGCGCGAAAGCCAGGATTGTATTCGCAAAAAGATAATTGTTGCAGAATAATTAAAAATTAAGAATCAGGTATAATATTACTAGATAATAAAAGGAACTCAAATCTACAATATAATGCAAAAAAATTTGGAAAATCTCGTCATGTAAATACAGAAGCTTCAAAAACGCCTTCAAATGAGGCGTGATACCTTACGCGTCCCGGAGAGTTCGAATAGTTGTATCCCTGCGCCTTAGCAAGGCGATGGTAGTTTACTATTGAAGTAGCGTCCCCACTTAGTTTTTCGACTTTCCTGTGCTGCCAGGGGCGGACTGGCCATAGGGAGGGGAGAATCTGCCGCGGAGGTTCCGAAGGGGCCCCCGCGGCGAATTTTTTTCGAGTCATCGTTTTCTTCCCGTAATGTTGTAATTTTCTTTTTCTTTTTAATCACTAAAAGGCCCCGAATTCCTTGAAAATTTGTCTCTAAGAGACATGGAAGATTGCCAAAAGCATTTGTGATGAAGGGACCCCTGATGAATCCTGAGAATGGGTTATTTTGAAGTTCAAGTACCGTAGGATCCAACTCCAATAATGCCCTCGTGTTTAAAAAGTGTGAAATTTTCAAAATTTACCGGGGGAGGGCCCCCGGACTTTCTTAGAGGGGCCCCCGAACGACAGGAGGGGCGCTTATATTTAGGTCTCCTCCTAACTTTTCGACTACCAGTCCGCCCCTGGCTTTATGCGCCACTTCAATACATCTGGTGATTTGATGATCTGACGAATGGAACACTAGGGCCATCATACTGTTCACAACGTATTATCGATTTTTTGGGTGCGCGCAACCAGAGTAGTCCCCGCTTATTTGAAAAGTGGCGCGTCAATTTGTATATTTTGCCGAGCGCGGCGCGGAATTGGCGGGAACCAATGGGAGTGGAAGTTTCGACTTGTTTACATTCGCGTTATATTTTGGTGGTCCGTCTGTTTTGTCTTTGTTATTTGAGGTTAATCAGATTTTGATTGTGTGAATATCGCCAGGCTTGAGACTATTTCGTTAAGTGTTAATCTCATTTTAAGACCTTGGGAGGTCTTTGTGATAATGTTTAATGAAGCTCAATCCTATAATTTCTTAGATTTGTAATCGTTAATATATACTTGAAGCCAAAACATGACCTATGGGTAAGATCTCATTCCTTTATTTTTGTTCCTATCCCTAATCATTGCCTGATTTTACAACAACTGTGACTGATAAGTAAATTTCATTTCTTGAATATTCAGGAGCTCTGTCAAGATATCATACTGGAATTCAGCATTTTATTAAGCAAAGTGGCAAACTCTTAAGTGCCATTGATTGAAGTTTCCTCACTGTTTATGGATCCGCTGGCAGAATTGCAGAAAACCATGCCAACTCATTCTGCCACTGCCGCTGCTCCTCAAGCTCAAACGAAGAATGAAAAGAGGACTGGGTTAGGCCTGTTCAAACCATAACTGTTAACCTTGAAAGGAGGGCCAGATTAGCTGGGAGCACCCCGGCCCCACAGGCCCCCCGTGGGTGATTTTTATTTTTGTTCCAGATTCTCCAGGGGCCCTTGGAGTATAAACGATAGATTCAGCAAGGCCTGAACACTGGGATTTTGGGTTGGGGTATCATAGGGCCCTTATATTTTAGGATTTGGGGCCCGTAAATTGGCACCCGGCCCCACGAGTCCCCCTGGGCGATTCTTATTTTAATTTCAGATTCTTTAGGGGCCCTTGGAGTATAAACAACAGATTCAGAGAGGCCCTAAGATTGGGATTTTGGGTTCGGGGATCATGGGATACCTAGGTTTTGGGATTTGGGGCCTGTAGATTTTAGGGTTTGACCATGTGGGGCCCTAAATTATAATATTTGGTTTTGTACCTGGAGTCCTCCTAACATCTCAGCCGGGAGTTATCTCCTTACAACGTAGATAATGTCATGGATCTATTTTATATCCTTGTCATCTAATAACATTTTATATGTCTGATTTGATGGTTATTTTAATATTTATACTTAAGGTGATTCGATGGACGCCATATTTTGTGTCAGAACGGCATGCGATATATCGCATCAATTGGCTCCATTCTTTCAGCTACTCGTCATTTTTCTCCAATTTTGAGATCGCAATTCTGTTGTCAGGAGACTAAAGCACTCACTTACCAATTTTAACAAAGAAATTCAACGTAATAAAGGCGTGGTTTTTTCAGAGAGAAAACATCGCATTCGAGTGCAGTTTCGATATCAGTATCGAATGCGATGTTTTCTCTCTGAAAAAACCACGCCTTTATTACGTTGAATTTCTTTGTTAAAATTGGTGAGTGCTTTAGTCTCCTGACAACAGAATTGCGATCTCGAAATTGGAGAAAAATGACGAGTAGCTGAAAGAATGGAGCCAATTGATGCGATATATCGCATGCCGTTCTGACACAAAATATGGCGTCCATCGAATCACCTTAATTAAAATGACAGCTGGGATGGGGGGGGGGAGGTTTTATTTTCATTGGAGATGAAAACAGCCTTCAATTTAGAGGGTATGCAACCCGCACAAGTCCGGGCCCCTTGTACTCGCTGGCACCTCGGGCCCCTCAGTGCCAATCCGGCCCTGCTTGAAAGCGAGTGAAAGAACACCATTTGTCAATTTATCTTTCATCAATTGGATCATAAACTACCACAATCATTGATGACAATGAAGGAAACTTATAGTTTGATGAAGATGATGACAATGAAACATTCTGCGGATGATATGGATAATGAAGGGCAGATGGAGGAAAGATGCGTCAAATCTTGAGTACTTATATGCATTTCTCAATCCTACTGTTGATGTAATTGTTGCCTCAATTCCCTTTTTGTGAATGCATGAGTGTCAGAAGAAGGTGCATTGACTTATTCAGTTTTTAAAAAAATGATTTATTTTCACAAAAAAACTCAAACAATTTTGAGAGTTCAAGAGGATTTAAAGCTGCTCATTTTATCCTTAAACTGTCCCAATATAGGATGTGATTTTCAAAAAATTGCTACTCTAGGACTGCCTCTAATTTTGAGAGGACCCCTCTTTCCCAAAGTACTTCCTCCACTCGCAGGGGGAACGAGAAAGTGGAAAAAGTCTAGTGCTGTTGGGAAAAAGGGCTTGACTCAAAATATTTAAGTGGCGACTCAAGCACTCAGGGAGGGGAAGGCAGTCATGTCACCTCTGCCTTTTTAATTTTTCTGAAGAACCCAGTGTAAAAAAAGGAAATGGAACTACTGTATCGCTAGAAATTCAATGGAGACTGAGAAAAAAAATTGCAAAATCTTTAAGGAATTATGCTGATTAGTTTTACACCCCCTAATTAAAATATGAGGGAAGGGGGCAAACTGAGGTACAGGGCTGATGAGTTCATCTATCATTTTCATATATTCGTGTCCCTTTTTTGAGGCTAATGTTACCCATGATACTCTTTTAAAAGCTAATTACAAAGCTCTTTCCAAACAAAACTTCAGGTGCTCAGCTGGAGGAACCAATTTGAAGCATTGTCTATTTTCTTGGATAATTCTCCCAACATAATTTTGCTTTGATTTCTGTTTCAGGGATAACCGTGACCAGAATGACACTGCAGTTATTCGAGAAGTGTATGAAAGTGAGAATGCTCTCGAAGCATTTGAACTGGAACTAGATCGTGCTCTTGAGGCAGGGTGTAATGTAATTGTCATTGAGCCAACCAGGTTAGCAGATGAAACAGCCCAATGGATAGCATTTGGAAATTTTTTGCATAGGACTGCTGTTTTCTCGGGAGTTGGAGCAATTTTTGCAGGTACAATAGCATTTAACATTACATTGTGTTTGAAAATAGTTAAGAAGTATATGGATATGAGTGAACTGATTAAGAAGTTGAGACTAAAAATGTAGGTACCAATTGGTAATTTCGGGTAAAAGGTATCGCAGGGTACACTATGCGAAAAAATTGAGCACAGAAATAAAAGCTCATTGTTGTGATGTAAAGTTCATTTGTATCATGAGCTTCCATGTAACTTTTTAGCTCCCAACATGATATTTCGAAAATCACAAAAATATCATTCAATTTTCTTTTCTAAAGTTTACTATTATTTAGAAACTAAATTATGATAGAACGAATCTCTTTTGTAAATGAGAGTAGCAATAGAGAGAAGCTGCACTGTTGTCACTTTCAAGCTGCCGACTTGCAAGGCGGTAAGTTTCTGCGCAGCGGGGCCTACGGAAACGTTGTTATCTTTTAATTTTCACCTAAATTCATAGTTTTATTGAGGTTTTGAAAATGAGTCATTTTACGCTAAATTCTCCGTAATGGGTGGAGGAGAGGATTTTATCATCAAATTTTGTCACCACCGAGGAGATAAAATTTTATTTCTCACTCTATCCAAGCCAGTATGCTTAAGCAGACACTCCCCAAGGCTGCCTCCCAGGCCAAACAGCTATGATCAAACTGTTATAATCAAATCTCGTCAAAGGTGACACTCCCAGCCCACAAACAGTCATATGCTTTGCACAAAATTACCACAAATTTTTATATTTAATATTGTTCTTTAGACAAGTAGATTATTTTCTTTCATAACATGATGTAGAATTTAGTAATGATTAAAATTTTAAAAAAAGGAAAGAAATAAATTTTATGGCAATAAATGATTAGGTGCAGTAGGTAATATTTCCGTGTAAAAGAGGAAGTAGGGTAAAGTTACAAAGTATGTACAGCTTCGAAATACTCTTGCTTAACTCCATCCCCTCAAGGTGCAGCAGAAAATGTTAGATGATTGGACTTAATAATGTAGCATTATCACTAATATGATTTTGAAAAACACAGTGTTGGACTATTTATATATATATTTTAGGTGTTGAAATAAGAAGCAAGCATCTGAAGTATGGATTTCTGTATTGAAAGCATTAGACTATCTTTTTGGCTCATTTCATGGTATTGATTGTTCGCAGGGTATTTGCTACCGAAGAAACCAATCATATTTGGTCCTCTGTGTGCTGTGTCTTTCTTAAGCGCTGGGCTCCACACAGTGGCCTGGCAGATGGATCCATGTTGTAAATATCAAATCTGTAATAACAGCAAAAAATTGGCGAATCTACCACTTTATAACTCTATTACTCCCGTAGTTCTCACGCGGCAAGATGACACTCACCGTAGGATTCTTCAGTCAACAGTTACCATCTTATCAGTTGCATTCTGTCTTTGGAAATACTATCAAAGTATGAAATAGTTCATGTTTATATTAGATGATGACTCAAAAGCAACCTATTTTTCTGTTTTTGTCTTAGCAGTTCAACTAATCTGGTAGGTTTTTGTCTATTCTCCTAATCAAGTTTTTCTGCGCAGTCAAATTCAGAACGAATAAAGCCTGTGTGAGTCAAGGAATTTTAAAATCAAAATAACTGCATGAAGATGCAGCAGAATGAAATAACGGATGTACACAACGTGTTGAATTTCCTGTAAAACAGCAACTGCACTGCATGTAAAATCTAAATTTTTCAAGGAAAGCCCTGTTTTGATCTCTTTATGGCTGAGTAGCAGTTTCTTTCTTTAACAGAATATTTTTGACACCATGGTGTATTCAGCCCAAAATTTTTATTTGCTGGTTTTCAGTAGATTTCTATGAGAAGTGCCACTTATGATGCTCTTAATTCAAGTTTGACAGGTAGCTCCTCAGTACCGGTTAAGTCGTTCTTATAAACCACGAACAATGACAGCTATCACTTTTATTAATGTACACACAGATTGTGGCTCAATTTACGAGTCATCTAGACAGAGAGATGATGATGGTGCCATCATGGGTCAAATCCAGTATAAAATTGAAATTTCAGAACAGTATCGTTAGCTTTTAAGTTTTCTATTGAATTTTAGTGCTTGAAAGAAAGATTAACATCTCTCTGTTTAGAGCATTTTTGACCAAATGCGATATTTGGAAACCCTTTTATCCAGTTTCAAGACTAAGTTTTCTTTTAATTCAAACGAATTAGACTACCTTTTTTGCTCCATGTAAAGTCCTGAAGATTCTCCCTGGGTATGGGCAAAAGAGCTCGGAATGCAGCTCAATTAAGACCTAATCGAACTGGAGTATCTATCTGCATTTGTGCAACCTGAAATAAGATCTTGCTAAAAAAAAAGGGGTGTGAAGCATTACAAGTTCCCATAATGTAAGGCCTAGGGGCGAGATGCAATGGCTGTTTTATAAAAATCACAAATTGTTTAAAATATCTCATAATTAGTTTCTTGCTTCTCCTGCCCAAATGCTGGACTGAAGCTCCTATCGGAGGGTGTTCTTTTTTTCTTTTATCAGAAGAAGCCTACCTGTTTTTCATGTTGCCTGAATTTGTCCAATGTCTCTAAACTATGCATTCTACGACCTTGAAACTCTAGTTGAATTTATTCCACATTATTAAAGATAATCTCACAAATTTTCATGGTATGTAGAATGTTACTTAGGCTTCTGTTGAAAAATAAAGCTTGAGCTAGAATTAGGTATTGTCTAATGTAGGTAGGCTGACTCTGGTTGAATCGGTACATTTTATAGACGGGTTGCTAAAGAGAAATTGTCAATGATATTAGAAAGGATTCTTTATCTGTCTTCCAAGGAGGAAGAGTTTTCATTGCCACTTGGAACTCAGCCTCTTTCTCTACTGCAAAATCTCTTCATTAAACAATGTGGGCTGTTCAGTGAGAGTTTATTTTATCCCCTCTGTCTGAGAATATTATTTTTTCATCTCTTGAAGAATTTGTTGTTGAGTACTCTCTATCGGCCAAATTATTTTCCCACTATATGCATAGAGGGAGCAATATGAAACAATATGTTTGAATTTCTACTTGTTTATCTTTGTGTGTAAAGAGTGGACACCAGAGAGACCCAAGGCTCTAATTTCTTCATTGAGAACTCACCTCGTTTTCACTTGTGAAGTCTTGAAAAATTTCTGTTTGCAATTTTCTTATATCAACAAAAGCACAAAGGTCAAGACTTGACTCTTAGTATTGCATGAATGTAAGATACCTACTGTTTATTTTTTTTCTTTTTTTTCTTTTCTTATTTTTTTTCCAAACCTCTTGATATTAATATCAATCCTTCTCAAATTTAAACTGATTCATTGGGGTTTCACGCTTTTTTATGTAGTGCATAGTCACTGATAATTCTAATCCTCTTAAATTTTGTGCATCACTTGATTTCAATGTTACTTAAAAAATTATGTATACTTATCCAATATTTCTTCAATTATTCAACTTCTGTAAAACATAAATTATTTCCACTAATTTTTATCCAATTTGTGAGGAGCGTTCTGTCCAGCTGCTGGAGCGGATTTTTTCAAATCGCTACGGACAAAAAATTCTTCCAAAGAGGTATCTTTGGGTTTCAACTCAAAGAAGAAAAATTAGTTGCTGGATTTTAACAAAACATTACTGTTAGACCACGGTTTTTTGGTATGTAATCGTTAACTGGATCTAGATTCATATGAAGTCATCCTTGACAATTTATACTGCTAGTCACATTCTATGCTTCACAAGAGTATTGGTTTGCGCCTTTCAAGTCACTATCGATTGCATTTACTCTTTGTGATTTTGTCATCAGCTGCGAATAAAACTTCGACAATTTTAATGGTACGAGTCCAATATTGAGAATCGGACGAATCACTTAGAGCTGTGGAAAACTTTCTCACCGCCTCCTTGGCCACCCCACAATTTGTAGTAGGTTCCTAACATCAATGCAACTTCTATTAAGGTCAACACAAAAAAGAGATTAGTCTTGTTTTGTTTCCTGTTTTTCCCTGGTGCTGAGTATTAATGTCCCTGAAAATCTGTGGCTGCCCAATATTTCTTTTTCTGAAGCTCTGTACATACATTCCTTGTATCATGAGAAAAAGTTTGCATCACATCAAAGAGTTCCATCATGATGTATGATTGTGGTTACAGCATCAAATTGTGTTTCATCTGCCTTATTTTTTTTTTTTTTTTCATCTTTTTAGGGTTGACTGACAAGAATTCGTAACGATTTTTGAATAGATATAATATCAGTCGTTGGGTCTAGTAGTTATCAAATACAATTACTTAGTTTCTTTTTTTAAAAATCATTTTCCTCCAATCAAAACACAATCTTTCTGTGTACTCACATTTTACAAAACAATAACAGAATGGTTTGAACGAACTAATCCACGTCAATGTAATAATTGTGTAGGTTTTTCCTTGGGGTAAAAATAACAGCAGACTTATCGACATCTTAAAAATAACTCAGTAGTATTCTGCCTCCATGATATTACCTGGAGCTTTGCAAAGTTTTGGAATTCATGCCAGAAGCTCTTTGTTCTCTTTACAGGTTCTGTTGTTAATTTATTCCAAGATTGTGATAGCAGTTAAGTTTACATGGAAAATGTGATTTTAATTTTGAATAAACTCTTTTTATACAGTACTTTTGTACTCATCATTTTCCACTGAATGAATTTTATCTGCTCCTGGCAAACATTTCTGATTTTGACGAGATCCTAGGAGAGTCTCGTATGATCCAAGGCACATCTTTCCTACTTATGTATTAAAATTATACGTACGAGTTATAAAATCTTCTCTTTGCAAGTTAATATTTCTTGCAGTGGCAAATCATCTTAATCACTTGTAAAGATCTAGTTCCAAAGTTAAACTGATGAATTTTACGCAATTTCTGTCAAATTCTTCCCTTTTTTTTATGATGCTACTAGCAAGGCCTCCTCGAGGAGTCCTTAAGGGACGTCTGATCAGACGTCCCTTACCATCATGCTCCATGAGAGCCATATTAGTGCAAGAGTAAACTCAAACTTGCCAATCGTAAATGGATAAAATTCTTGAATAGCCCAGTATTGTTTACGGGAATCCATATACCCATGAATGGAAATTCGTAGTCACATTCATGAAAATCCATATTAGATAGTGAATCAACAAAAATTCATATCTCAAGTTGCAGTGTTTCAAAATCTCCATTCTCATCATATTTTACCAAAAGAGAAGGAAGCAACATTTGCATGAAATTTTTGAAAAATACCTATTTTCCACACTGAAGAGAACAATCAGAGAAGTTCTACAAATGACGTCGAGAATTTTTCTATTTGAAAAATGAAATATCGACGGTGAAACTACCAAACCACGTATCTCGGTTTGCGACGTCGCAGACTTTCTGTCATACTTTATTTTTTAAATGAAAAGCTACTTAACGTCCAGTCTTGAAAATTTCCGAAATTTCAAGGAATGATATTGATTTGGTCTACTTCAAAAAAATAAAATGTGAGCGGAGATTTTTAAACACCGCAAACGAGATACGTGGTTTGGTAGTTTCACCGTCGATATGCTAGTAGCCCTAGTACCTAGGTAGAAGTGACCTTCAAAAAGTAATTTTCGAACACTGAAAAAAAAGAAAAACTGTTGAAATGATCGCTTTAGTAAAGGAACCCCTCTTGCCCAATTTTTCAAGTAAAATTTTATTCTTCGTAAAATTCATGTGAAGATTTCTTTTAAAAGAAAAATTGTCCATTTTGTAAGATTTTTTAAACCATTTGTTTCTAAATATTTTTAGTATTGACAAACTTCAGTTGATATTTTAAGATTTTTTAACACTAAGTGGGTATACATATACATTTTATAAGTTTTTCTCCTAAATTTTACCTCTCGTAAATTTTACCTCATGGTACAAGATACTGCGGAAGGCTCTGTTAAAACTATTTTAGTTTTTTAAGAGATATTTTTGTAGTTTTCAAATTTCTTTCAGTCTGTTGTCTGCGTCGCAAATCGAGATTCATCTAGAGTACCTAGATTCATCTACTGATGGCCAAAGTGCGGAACCACGTATATCCGTTTGCGGCGTTGCAAATCTCCGGTCATATTTACTTTTTTCTGTAACAGCGAGTCCACGCAATTTTTTCGAAAACCTCCCAGATTTTTCTGCAATTTGCGCAGAATATTTTGTAAGATGGCTTCGAAGTTCGCTTGTTTCTCCTCGTCAAAATAAAACGAACGGAAATTTTGAAGCACTGCAGTGGCGATACATGGTTTCAGACTTCGGCTATCGATTCACTGTTTGTTGTAGGTTTGTTGCAGTTTCACCGTCGATAATATCTATGCTGAGGTGGATTTTATTTCACGGAGCCTTGGACCCGCAATACGTAGACTTCACGAATATCCTTATCCGTGACCAAATTTCCGTACATTACACGGAAAGCTTCGGGGCCTCCAACCCAGCCTCGTTGATCTACACTGATCTGCTGTTAGCTGTTATTGCCATTATCTGACTGATAACTCGAACCCCGATAACGAGTCGCTGACAATGAGTCGAGACCATTTGGCTGGTTTGTGTAATACACATATATGACAATTCTGCAAGAAATCTAGTGGAGGGGCGAGAAAAAATTGTGAGAAACGTAAGGGTAAATAATAAATATCAACTATTAAATTATGATGATGATGTGTTCGTCATATCTGTCACGTCAACCATTTTACCCAGACTGTGCACGATTCACGATTGCAGCAAAAAATCAAGAAATTGAATTGGGGTGGAGGTTTTCATTTTGAGGTTATGTTATCATGTCAGTCGAAAAAGTCAAAAGAAAAAGTATTTCCCCAATTACATACTTCTGTCTGTTTGTGTTTTTCCATGTATCCTCAAGTTATTCTCTCGGTTCTTTGAGTTGTGATAAAATATTCGTAATAGTGTGAACTGTAGTCTCATTGTGACTTGGGTGCCAGGCTAAATTATGTAGAAGACTTCTTACATTGCATCTGTCCTTACTTTTGTGGAACACTTTTTTTATAACCAGAGAAAATGAAATTATTCGTGCATTATGATACCTCTGGACATTCTAGATTCGTATATGATTGTTATAAGCTCGGCATGTGTGTTATATGTTCTTTTCATGGTACTCCTTCTCTTTTGTTTTTTGCGAAACTTCAAGAGCACTGAGGAAGACCGAGAAAGATTGCACTGTGACTATCCCATAGAATTGACATCTGTATCTAATGTCTATCAGCCCTGCAGTGTGGATCAGGGTGAAACCGTTTCCTGTCCACCGAGCACAGCAGCGCTCAAAGTTTACAGAATTTCCAAACCTCTCACCAAAATTGATATAAGTCAGATGGAGCGATTAGCATCATGATAGCGTGAGTATTTTATGTTTATTACTCTCAAGTTCTCAGATGATATTTTGTAAATTGCATTGCTCCTTAGATTGCTCTAACTAGCCTTTGCTTCATTCATCAGATTCATCATAAGGATGCTCCTATGATTATCTATATATGTCAGCCTGCTACAGAAATGAGAGTTATACATGCTCGTCCCCCAAGTTCAGCCACTGGAATAGTTCACCGAGTTGCTGATCCTTTTATCACAATTGATATCATTCAGATTGAGGATGTAACTATGTGTCTAGTGTTGATTTATCTCTTAGATACCACAGATCTACTTTGATTACTTTTTAATTCCTTGGTGAAACTGCAGGAATACGCATCTCAGTGCACAACGTTCTGGACTCCCTAGAGAAGAGTTATTGTATGTCGAAACAAAAGTCATGCACTGTCTACGTCACCATTGATCAGTGGTGCCAGCAGTCAGTTGTCACCACTGCCATGCAGTACCTGTTGAGTGGCGCTGATCAGAGATAGACATTTATCTCAACCTACAATGTTTTTGCTCTTTCATGATTTATTTTTCAAATGGAAAACTATTTCTCTTTAAAACTTTCCTATTATTGTTTATCTGTGAGAAGAAAAACTTTTGAAAATCTGAGGCAACCGGGTTGGCTTGTTCTCCTACAATATAAAATGGAAGCGGGAGATTTTAATACACAAAATACAAGATACATGTTTCTGCAGTTTCATTGTCTAATTGCACTTGAACTATTCCAGATTATATGACACATCTGTAAATAGGTCCCTGAGGCTTAGGTACACTTCCTTTCATGTAATGGTTTTCTTATCCATCCTCCCCTCATGTTCAGCCATTACTCTGTTCTCATTAACATTTGAGCAACTCAGAAATCTCCAATGCCTGATACGTTTTACAAAATTTTCTTACTTCCAAACTAGTCAAGGGTGAGGGAGGGATGTTGGATTAACAGATGGTTGACTAGGCTTCTCTAGACTGCATTTACCAAAGCTGGTGGCAGCTGCAGAATATCTCTTCTACATCATGCGTTTTCCATGTCCAATTTACAAGGTACTCAAGCTTGGCGAGTTGCAAAGCGTATGACAAGATTTCACCTGACTCTACTGCTACCCTTCCCTGATCTTTCAGATGTTGTTCCACAATCTGAAGAACTTGCCTAGAAAGAGCTCTCTCTTCTCTGTTTGGTATTCAGAAGCTTTCTTTTAAAATCATTATTATTTAAGGAAATTCAGAGATGACCATTTCTCAAAAATCAACTTTAAAGCTTACCTCTTTTATCTAAGGGAAGAGCTTGTTGACTGTCTAGTTATATTGGTCAAATAACTATCAACATATCGACGGTGAAACTACCAAACCACGTATCTCGTTTGCGGTGTTTAAAAATCTACCTCGCATTTTATTTTTTTGAAGTCCACCAAATCAATATTATTCCTTGAAATTTTCACAGAATTTTCTCCGCACAAAGAGGAAAAATCACAGCAATTTTCAAGACTAGACGTTAAGTAGTTTTTCATTTAAAAAATAAAGTATGACAGGAAGTCTGCGACGTCGCAAACCGAGATACGTGGTTTGGTAGTTTCACCGTCGATATGCTATTTTTTGAGGCATTTTGCTAGCTGTCAAGTCTACCCAAAAAGTGACAATCATAGCGCACAAGTTGCCTGTTTTAGTCCGAAGCACATCACTTACCTAGAGTTGTACGCTATGCAGTATGGACCGGTTGATCAATATGAGGACAAAAACCTATGATTAATTTCAATTGCTAATCATCTTAACTTCGTCAGTGTGCTGCATTTTGCTCACTCTAGCCATGGCCCTTCTTTAACGATAGGCGTGTCTTTAATTTTCAAAACAAGTCCAAAACACTTCAAATGTTAATAATGTTCCAACTCAGTAAATCTATGTTCAGTTTTGACTTTCAGTTTGCTCTGAAAACAATTTTAGATGAAGCTGTTGCAAAGGAAAGTGATGTCTAAATTCTTGATTTCAGATTATTTCCAAGACTGGAAGGTTGAAAGCTTTTGGAGTGCCGAAGTATTATTGACAAGTGAGAGTCTTTCTTAATTCCCGCCTCGTGTCTGGGTGACTTGGACTTCATCTGGAATCCTTTACAAGAAGAGGATTACCATCGTTTTATTTGTCTTTGAATTCCATTTTGATAAGTAAGTCTGTAAGAATGTAGGTAGTCCTTCAATTGTCATCATTTTAGATTGCATAGTGTTGCTACAATTCTCAACTTAGGGCTGTGTGTTTTAAGCAAGCCCAGTGTTATCAGACTTTATTCTTCTTTACTGTCAGTATTTTTTATCAGTATTATTGGTTTTTGTATTATATTAATATTCCACTAGTATTGGAAAAATTCAAGTCTGTAAAATATGAAACAGATTTACTCTTTGTTTACGTGCTACCTTTTTGGGTTTAATCTGATCGATGTTGAAGGCTACCCATTACTCTCAGAAAATTACAACGAATCAGTGGCAGCGCACTTAGGTTTCAACTCATTCTATATCACTATTCTGGTCATTTTAGGCTTGTCTGCAACATTCCTTGCAGGTTGTTTATGTTGTAAAAGGAAAAAAGGGTTCCAGGAATTCTCATCACAAACAAGAAGTACTGCAAGGAGTAATATTGAATTTGCAAATCCGCTTTCAACTGTCAATACTCAATCTGAGATTACGCTTTTTCCTCCATCAGGAGCCACTCCAATAACGTTCGATCCATTACCTCCATTGACTCCAAAACATCAACAAGTGCCTGCTCTTAATCCACGACCAGCTGCTTTCACTGATGCTCTTACAAAAGGTATATCAGTCCAAGCATGGTTCCAAGAACCACAAGATGATTTCCCACGGCAGCAGTTGCACTACTTAAGAGAATGTGGTCGAGGTTGGTTTGGTAGAGTTGTCGAAGGTGAGGCCCGAGGTATTCTTCCCAATGGAAGGACAAGTCGTGTGATAGTTAGAATTTTGCGTGAAGGCGCCTCTGATTCAGAGCAGAAATTTTTCTTACATGAAGCCAGACCATACATGGAACTTAGTCATCCGAATATTTTAAGGTTACTTGGCAGATGTCTGGAAAATGATCCATTTCTTCTCTTATTTGAAGCATGTAATGGAGGTGATTTGAAAAGCTGGCTCTCTCAAAATATTGCCAGTAGAGAGACTTTAACTCAACAGGGAATCACTCTTCGGATGGCAGCTGATATTGCTACAGGTCTTGCACACATGAACCATCATGGCTTTGTTCACACTGACCTTGCTGCACGTAATGTTCTCGTAACTTCAGATCTACGAATCAAAGTTGGTGACTATGGCACAAGCTTTGAAACGTTCAAAGATGATTACTATTGTCTTGATGTAGTTGCATTACCAATTCGATGGTGCGCACCTGAATCCTTGCTTTGCACGGATACTACAATTGAAACGAAGGAAGTGACAGCTCCAGCTAATGTATGGAGTTTTGGTGTAGTTTTATGGGAAATCTGCGAATTTGGCAAGTTGCCGTACACCAACCTGTCTGATGATCAAGTCATTGTTCAAGTTTTAGGAAGTGAAAAAGTGCGCTTGCCTGAACCAAGTTTTCCCTCACCGTTTAAAAATCATCTGTATTATTTAATGCAGCTGTGTTGGCGAAATCACAAAGAACGCCCATCAATTAGCCATATCCTCTCCATGCTGAATCATCTACTTACATCAAAAATCAAGACACCAAATGATATGGATGATTTTGAGCGCAGATGGGAAAATATGAAACCAAACACTGTCCCCAAAACAGATAATCACACTCCAACCATATCTGAAGACAGAGTCAAAAGTGATAATGACTCTGGAGTTGTTATGGATAATAAGCATTCAGCATTTACTGGATCAGAAATGGATTTAAGCAGTAAAAAATTACTAGCTGAGAGCTCTTCATCAATGACTATCTCACCGCAATTATCTGTCAGCAGCTCTGGTGGAGAATTTTTCTCCCAAACCTCTTCGCCAATCAAACTCAAATCACCAAGTTTGCAAAATTTACAAGGCTCTTTAGAGGATATAAATGAAGGGAAGGGGATAGATCGCTCGGTGGAAGATGTTCGAATGGATAAATGGTTACAGAATATTGAAATCAAGAATGAAAAAGATGCAAAGTTAGTGAGTGGTGTTTACAAAGCGATTAACGATCTTGACACTGCTCTGAGCTTAGAGAAGACCTCCTCCTCCAACGAATCTAGTTATGATAGTCCCTCCACGAATCGCAGATTGTCCGGCATTACGAGTGCAAATCCTGTGCCAGAATTCAAACTCGGTCCTTTTGTGAACAGCAATTTCCTCATGGATCGGAGACTCAAATTTCCCCCTGATAGTTTTCAAGATGATAGCTTTCTCATGAGGAGGACTGGTGACTCTTCAGGCACTGATACCGAGGATGAAATCTGGAGACGAAAAATTGAAAGAGGAGAATTCTCTGAAAAAGTAAAGGAAAAGTCAAAAAGTATAGCAGATCTTATGGTTCTCACACACATTGATAATAGTGATGGTAGTGAGTCAGACTCTTTGCCATCTTTCAGTTTCAATAAAATTGTGCGACAGAACACCAAAGCCAATGCCCTCACCAGTAGCATCGCTTTTGGAAGTGATAAGTGTATTTACTCCAGTTTAACAGCAGAGCAGTCAGACAGTGATTTGAAGAAATTTCAGAATGCCTTGAAGAAAAAAGATATGGATGATCCGTCCCTAAATTTTTTGCGTAGAGATAGTTTAACTTACTTTATAAATAACCCAAATTTTAAATTTAGTGATTTAAGCTCTACTAACTCTTCCAATTTCCATCAAACGGACCATTTTTTAGAGATAAGAGCCTCGGAGAAAACTAATTCATCCAAAATCACCTCAAAAAACCAAAGTACAGAGCCTTTAATACCCATAAAGTCCATGCCAGAAGATGAAGTCTCGGTTTCCAGTAAGCCAATTAGTCCAGCAACTACAAGTGTAGTTTTAGACAGTGAGTCTGAAATACCAAGTACAACATCTATGACTGACGTTATCAACTTGACGAATCATCTTTCTTCAGAGATTTCAGATGATGATGTACTTAAAAAGTCTTCAAATGGTCAGCCCTGTCATGTAGAAGAACATACTGCAATGATCCTTGATGAGAATGGTAGAAGTAACGTTCATTATGATGCACTGTTAGGAAATTGCAAGCAAGAGCAAGATAATCCTACAATAAATTCTGCCTTAGCTAACAAAATGTCACCTGGCATAAGTCACCATAATGAGTCCAGTGGAAAAGAAAAGATTATAGACACACTTGATAGTTGGAATCTGACGGTTGAAGAATTGAAACCAGACTTTATCATCAATTCTACTATCAAAGATGATGTGGTGAAGACCAGTGATAGGAATAAATCATCTCACTACAACTTGAACGAGGAGGAACCAGACTCCAACTTTGGTAGTTGGAACACACATCCATGTACAGAGAAAAAAGGTGCCCAAGACAAGGAGCAAAGACAAGAGACTTCTGACGTCAACACTGACAGTGAAAAGGAAGGGAGTAAACTTAAGATAATTGATTTTGAGCTTGGTGATTCAGGAATTATTTTCGATGAGTCCTCAGAAAATACGCAATTCATCTTGCCAGTCTCATTGGAAACTAATCTAGAAAATACAGTAATTTTAGGTTCTTGTGAAGATTTCACACTAGGTTTGTACAAAGGCCTCAAAACAAATTCAGGTAATGAACTAAACTCGGAGCAAGATAATGAAGATGGAGACGAAAAAGGAATTGTTCTGGAATGGAACAGGAAGAACAAATTGGATGGAAAAAGTGTACATGAAAATCATCTTGAACTAAAAAATAGGGATTTGGATGAGAATTGTGATAAAATATATATTGAGACTGTTGATAATTGTGATTTTGTACCTGAAACTATGGGTGATTATACTTATAATCGTTTCTATGAAGATCAGTCTGATGACACGTATCTTGATTCAGGAAAATCTTCGGATGTTCTTGATGATGATAATTATGAGTTGCGGCCTTACACCAGTTATAATAATTTAGCTGACCAAAGTTATTTTAGCCAAGAATTACAAGAAGGTGAAGATTGTTCGAATGAACGGAGACAGTATTTTGCCAAACACATTGATCGTTCAAATACAAGCCGTAGCCCAGGTGTAAGTACAGAAGATTTGGCTCTTAAAGCTTTGACACCAGATGATGAAAAGAGTAGTGATACTGGTTTTAGAGACAAAAGTAGTCCAAGTGAAAGCTGTGATGATATGTACAATAACAAGTATAATTTGGAGGATATAGAAAATGAGTTGAAAGACTCCCAACGTACTTCTCCTATTGAGAGCCTTGAATTAAATCCTCAACATGAAATTCAGGTTCATGATTCATGTGAAATTAGGAAGTCTGGTGTAAACAACTCATTCATGTCGGAAAATGGATTGAGGAAGGAACCATTTTCTTACCATTGTGACGAAAATGTCGAAATTGTAAAGAACAACTTGCAAAGCATGCCGAATTACAATGCAAATGATAACAACATAGTGGATAAATTACAATCATTAAACAAAGAGGATGACAGAACAGCCACCGAAGATGCGCCTAGAATTGAGGAAGACGAAAAGCCACCCCCTAGCTATGAAGAATATGAGCGACTTCATGGTAAGTTCCAACCATTTAAATTGAACCGAAACTCATACGATTTCGAAAGTTCCTTCTGCACTAATGAAGATGACAGGTTAAGGTTGTCGCTTGAAAAATGTCACTCAGCCTCATCTTCTGATTCAGAAGAGGAAAGACAACAAGATAGAATTCACGAGGGAGGCCAAGGATGGTATTTGCACTCAAGAAATCCTCAGCATTTGGAGTCAGTGGATAGCAGTTGGCTCCCAGAAGAAATCACAGATGACAATGACAGGGGTGAGGCTGTTAATGAAGAATATCTAATGGCAATTCGGAATGAATTAAATGAGAAATTACTAAAAATGCATCTTCCAGGTCTCAACTCAGAGGAAGAGGAAGAATCAACTCATGATGATCTTATTATTTGTGAAGATTTTGAATCAAAGAGAAATCCCAGAAAAGCTACAAATATATTTATTCAGTACAGCAATTTCTCAGACTACTTATCCCCGATCGCAGAAGAAGATGAAAACAGATGTTCTAGTAGTTCCTCATCTATTTCTGACACTTCCGATATTTCTAGAACTTTAAGTCTTCATGACACTGAAAAAGAAGGAATCGACTATGAAAGTGCACCAGCCTACACCCCAGCATTGCAAGAGTGCCAAGAGCTTACTACGATTTTCCCAGATTCAAGTGAGACTCAGATATTAAAAAATTCAGGTCTTAAATCTCAACAGCTCAATCCATCTTACTCTCTAGAACTGACTACGGACCAACTTGAGAATGCAGATCCTTACTCTGAATATTCTGTCGGTAGTATTACACCAGTGACTGGTTCGCCAAGTGCTACTAATCCTAATGCAACCTTCTCATCTTTAAACGAGAGTCTCTCAGAAGTTTTTCTATCTCCTAACTCAGCTCAGTCAGATTTAAATTTCACGGATGATAAAACAATTCACTCCTCATCGGACGAAGATAGTGGCACAGACATAGAAACTGACGAATGTCCTCTTTCGCCCTCCAAGGAATCAGAGGCTATTCAGGAACAATCCAACTTTACAAAAAACGTAAACGAATTGCTGTTACAATCTTCATGCATTCTGAATGATGAAAGGGAAAGTAAAAACTCTGTAGAGGGCTCCCAGCCACACAATGGGAAGACATGTGCCTCATTAAATTGCAATGAAACTAAATTAAGTGAGACTGTATTCACTCCTCAAAATTCTGACACCAGCAATGTTGCTGATGAAATGAAAGGCAGTGCTTCCAATTACTCATTGAATCATAATTCATTGATCAGCTCTCATTCAGAGCCTCGAACATCTGAGACTCTCTCACTTTCTTCCACCATAAAAAATCAAGTTGAGCTAAGTTCCACCTTAGCTTTTGAAGATTCAGTGACAGAAGTGAATATAAAGCCTCCAACACATAACAACAACAGTTTGATTGGTGGTAGTGAAGATGGTGACCCAGATCAGGACCCGAAAGAAAATTATAAAAACTACTGTCGAAAAAAATTTAAAATTACCAAAGTAGATGAAAGCATTAAACCAACGTTGAGTGAAGATTTTGGTAAGAAGGTGAACGAATTTAGTAGTGATCAAAAAATTATCGTAGACAACGCGGAGCTCAACCGAAGACTGAATGAAATAAATAGAGTGGCGCATGGCAGATTAGAAATTAATTTACCAACCTCTGAAGTGAGTGTGCCTCTGCCCTCTCCGTCTGACCAGAATGACTGTCTGCACCCATCTTCATGGCTAGTCCTGCCAAAACTGTCAGACCTTAAAAATTTGGAGAAGCTAAGTGTCTCTGAAGCCAATAATAACGATGATCAAATGATGTCCACCTCTTTTATTGATTCTAATAGTGCTGAGAATTCTGACATAGAAGAGACTTTAGACTCAGACAACAACTGGAATGAAGAAAGTAGAGTTACGGACTCTAAAGCTGTGATAGACGATGGAGACTTTTGGTGCGGAAGCTCTGAATTAAACGCTGCTTTGAATCATATTGTACAGGAAGAAGATTCAGTTGAAAAAGATGATGATTACGATGATGAAGACGATGAAGACACAGCAGAATTCGTCCCGTCATCATGGAATAGTCAAGCGACTCCCATTAAATCGGCACTTAAGAGTCCTGAAATGAAGAGTGAGCCAAAGAAAAGTGTGTCTTTCAAACGACAGCGATACCACTGTGTTTACGAGTACCCAAGAGAGGAGCATTCAGACTCTGAAGAAGCCTCGTGGGAAAATAATTCTCGTTTCTCTCCTCTCATCAATTTTGACTTCTCAGAGTATACTGACTGGGAGATGGGTGTCTCCGATGACGGCTTGTCTGTGGAATCCTCTCAAGAGTCAGAAACAGAAATAGTCAAACCCAGTGAGAAGCACAATGTTTATGCTCTTACTCCGATTGATAAAGATTTCTCCTTCAACCCATCATTAGATGATGATGAGTTTTTCATCAGCAGTTCTACACGTCCATTCAAGAATGATCAAGTCTCTCTTAATTGCCAATTTTTTCCGGGAAAAACTTATTTAGATGACAATTTTACCCCTCTTGCTGCAGATATTGGCGAAGAAAGTAAAATTGAAAAAGAATTGTAAGAGGCTCAATATGTATGTCGTTTATTTTTTCACTAAGTAATTGGTATTCTTCTTCCTTTGCTACTGAATGAACTTCTAAATTTTGGTGGTATAAATTCTCCAATCTGTATCTTTCTGATATCACCATAGGAGCAGGAGTTCCTTGCCAAATGCTAACATGCATAATGCTCCGTCAAAAGGATGGCAGTATGAGTGTGCCAGTAAGAATTTTTTCTTATACTAATGAGTAGAATCCCATACGTTCATATATTATGAGATAACGGAGGCAGTAATTACATCATATTTTAGGAAGCTTAAAATTCTGGATCACCCATTAATTAATGTATCAGTAGTTGTAAACGTTTAAAGCAGACCTGTTAGCTTATCAATGAAGTCATCAAATAATTATTGTGAAGTGTAGTGCTGCTGTATCCTGTTCAGAAGACTATAATTTTAGACAACTTTTGAAGAGCATGAGACTGATCGTTAAATGGGATTGTAGACCTCACCTCGGACACCATCTTAAAGTTTACATACTGTTGCCGTGTGACAGTGCCACAATAATGAACGACTGCAAATTATATGTCATGGCAAGATTTTTTTTATGGAAGTACATAACTGTCATGTACATTTGTAATTAGTCTACATTTAACTCATTATATTCAGTAGGTGCATAATGTACCATAAAAATTGATATCTTCATATTGTACCTAGAATGCTACAATTTATGATGGAGCTTCATGTGTTAACTCCTACTCTGAGTCATCATCAGTAACCTGAAAAAGTGTCACTTGGAGTGACTGTAACACTTTTGAAAACTCTAGGTTTAGGTCTTCCAATCATTTGTCTATTACTCAATTATTTTCAGAGTCATTATGTTTGTTTTATTATTGAAATTAGTTATCTTCGTTCAATTTAAACCATCTGTTGAATTATTTTAATGCTCAATGAGATCTTTTTAAAAACAAGTCACTAATGGCAATACTAGTGGCGAATATTTATCATTGATTTGGACTAACTGATCATTATTGAGAAATGATTTTGTGCAATAGCTTTTAGTTTTGCTTATGTTCTTAAGGAGTAATAGAGATCAAGTGACATCATTTAAAGCCTTTGATACATTTCAATGTTTCCAATCATACCAAAGGATCTGATCAGCTTGTTTCGGTTTTCCTACTCTTGAGAGAGTGGTAAAAGCCTAATAAGGTTATCAAGGTTAAATAAATTGCATCAAAAGGTTGTAATGAAATCACTATATCAGTTGCTTAGACCTTTTCAATGGTCAATATACTTCATAAACTAACCCAAAGCCAAATAATCTGTGAAAGGCTGCTGTAGTTTTTGAATCACCTACATACTTAATTTTCATTAACAATTAAAGAAAGAGTGAACATGAGATGATAGATATTGATCATTTGAATTGTAACTTGAGGCTAATGAATCGGGGTTTGATTAGCACGAAAATTTCGTAGGTTGCAGGGACCGGTGTAAATTTCCCTCAAGGCTTTTTACTTATTTATTCGGAATGAGTCATCCCTAGGGATGGAAACTCAAAAATGTCTTGGCTTGAGATCAAGGAGAGAACTCAAAGTAAAGTCATTTCCACCCACTGAATGGGAGCTCTTGCATGCCTCAGAGATTTGCAATATAAATACTCACACTCCCATAAAATTTTGCAAGAGACACAATGATGCCTCTGTGTATCTCTGAAAAAAGTTCCCTAGCCCAAAAAAAGCTCTCCAAGTTGAGGGGATCCCCTATACTATGCTGAGAGTGTACCTCTATGTCCAGTCAATTTTTCCATGTGCAGATAGGGATCGAATACATTAGCTGTGTTGTGACTTTGTTTTTGAACTCCAAAGCTGGAAGCATGGGAATCCTGCCCGTGTATTCGCTCTTCGTTTGTGCATGGAGAATTTGACTGGATTCAGAATTGACCTCTCAGAGTCTCAGCACAGTGGGTCCCTTCCATTACACCCTCATCTTTTTTTGGAGCTCATTTCCGAGAAAACCGGTGGCACCATCAAGTTTCTCGCAAAATTTCACATGGAAAAGCACTTACATCGTAAATCCCTGATGCGTGCAAGAGCTCTATTGAAATCCCTTCATTTTCAGCAGTCTCTTTACTTCTGTGCGTACCATTTAGTAGGTCCATAAACTCTTCCAATCTTATTCATAATAGTTTTTAATTAGACTCATCAGTAAATTGAACTATAACCATCTAGCACTCATACAGGTCACTAACTTAGTTCTCAGACCAGTGATTCTCAAAAACTGAATGAAAAACTGTGACAGCCATCCGTGTTTAGTTGTGCCTCGTGTTTCCTTAACATTAATCTTAAGAGGTAACTGGAATCCGTCTCAATTTTCATTTTGTATCACTTTTAATTGTACATTTTTTGTAAGTATTTTATTTGTTTTAAAGTGTAAATTAATAAAGTAGGTATTCGCAATGTATTGTAAGCAATGATGACTTTTTTCCAGTGATCCTGTCTAGTTGCAGCACTCGTACATTTGAACAATTAGTTGCAACCTGTGCACTGTCGATACCCAGAAGAGGCAAAAAATGTTTAAATTTTCCATGTTTTTGTTTGATTGTGATAGTACTCAGAAAAATGATGCAGTAAATGATATTACTAAACATTTTGGTATTTTACTGATTCCTTTTCAATGCTGCAAGGAGTGCTTCAGTTTTGCAGCCCTTTCCCATCCATTGCTACTTTTAAGCCATTTTTAGTGCTGTACTGTTCAGTTTGTACCTACCTCCATTTCAATCCATGAGTTTGACCCTGATGAGGCATGTTAACTTTTATATTTCATCTCTTCACTCTAAACAGCCCTGAAGTATTCTTAAATCTACATCTTGGGTCTTTACATGTGCTCTCAGAGGATTGAGGTGGAGCTTTCTTTGGTGGATATTGATGAAGAAAATTGTATTATTTTCAAATTGAAATTTTTGATACCTGCCACAGGATCAAGCTCCATTTTAATCATTCAGCTCGGAAAAATGTGCAGCAGTGGTAAGCAAGCATCAATTTAGTCAGCTAAGTCTTGAACTCGATATATTTATTCAGTCTTATTTAAAAATGTAGGCGCTGAGTATCTATTAGCAAATTCCTGAAATTACCAAAGACTGGGAAAATATAATTTTTGAGTTCATTACAGATGATTGAGCCTCACAGTTTCATCATTGAATCACTTGTATCTTATTCACATAGAAATTATGTTTAGTGTATCAGGAACTTGATGTAGTTCTTAATTTTGGGTCCATGTGTAACTTTAAAAAAAAGGACTAAGTACGTTAACTAATTTATACCGATATTTGAAAAATGTACCTTAACTTATGAATTATTAAACTGTTCAGAGGTTTTATTCAGTTCAATGTTAAGCCATTTCTTTTTCTATTCCTTTTGGGTGTGGTTTTCATCAAGATTAAGTGCTGAGATAAGCTATACGTTATTGAAACGATGAGGTAAAGCTCCAAACATTGGGCATTTTTTATTAGTTTCAATAATACATTGACGGTGAAACTTTCAAACGACGTACCTTGTTTTGGTGTTTCAAAATCTCAACTCTCATTTTAATTTTTTGAAGGAGAAGAACTCATCATTATTGCTTGAAATTTTCATTGGGTATAATTCACGTTGAGAAGAAAAATCACCGAAGTTTTCAAAAAACAGCGTTCAGTACTTTTTGATGCAGAAAAAGGAAGTCTGCAACAATGCGAGGTAGATAGATAAATAGATAAGAGATACATGGTTTAGAAGTTTCACTGTGGAATCCACATCTTGTTCTTGTATTCACGGTGCGGTGTGAATACAAGATGTTGTTCACATATATTCGCTTATAAAATGGTAGAAAATATTTCCTGCAGAATGAGGGTAGAAATTATTGAGGCTGCTCACACCCTAGTTCTTATAGAGGCTGAAAATACAAAAAAAAAAAACGGGTTTTTCCTCCTGAATTTCAGAATTTTTGCATTGAAGGCAAACTAATTTGTTACAAGACAGGGACGATACCTAAACATTTTCATTTCTTTGACCTGATTTTAGAATAGGTGTCAAAAAATGGTGCTAAAATTTTCAATCCCTACGAGGAGAGTTCTTGACCTAATGCATCAGGAGAATTCAGCTTTTTGGGTTTTTATTCTGTAACAAAATACACATGTACCAACAAAAAATTTACATCGGTAAACAAAAAATTACATTGAAGTTTGAAGATGATACAACACTTGGAAATATGATAGGAAAAATGTATATGTACACAGCACTTGCTAAATAATAGGAAAAGAGCATAAGAAATCTTGATTGCCGGCAAATTGAGTACTACACTTAATTCACTCCAGATGCATCTTTGGCACAGGTAGATAAACGCTTTGAAAAACCTTTCAATTAAGTTTTCTTTTTTTGTTGAAAAATATATTCAACAGAATCAATTTGAAAAGTTTGCTTCGAAGAAAGCTTGCTCATTTTAGAAAATACAAAAAAAAAAAAAAAATTGTCTACATGACTGTGGTTAGTCTTGTTCCTGCATTAAAAAAAAAAAAAAAAAAAAAAAAAAAAAAAAAAAAAAAAAAACTATATCATTACTACCTCACACTGAACAATCCGAGTACAACAACTGCTCTCAGGAGTAGTATGACAATTTTCACATTCATGTTGCAAAAATTGACGAGGAGAAAGCCTTCTTGTAAGTCTTTGTGTTAAGCTAGGAGTAAAAAAAAATGGCTAGAAGATTCTATCCCTGAAATATATAGTCATTTTGAATAAAAAAATAAGTAAAATGATTTCTGGAGAGAGTTTCTACCTATTTTACCCTATTTTCTTGTCTCTATTGGCGTAATGTTGGTATCCTTGTATCGACAAACTGTACTCGAGAAAAGTTCGAAATAAACTTAGTAAGATAACTAAAAAAAAAGAGGTGTGAATGCATTATAGAGCATTTCAGCTTCTCAAAATTTTCAAGATTAACTCAATACGATAATTGTTAAAATTTTGATGGGATCCGTTCCGAGAATCGTAGATCACTCCATCTAAATTATCAGGGAAGAAATTTTACAGAAAACAATTGCCGACCAATACGACCATCTGTTCAAAAAATCATACGAATTTGCACAGTGGCTCTCTAAACACAAGTAGAATGAAAAACATGGCGGTAAAGAGATTCAGACTGGTTGACAGCTGATGAACTTTAGCTACGTTACTTACGACACGTAGGAAAATTTTTAAAGAAACACAAGGAAAGCACATTTTTTAACTTGAAGTATTAATTATGTGGATGTAACTATTTTTAAGGGGTTTTAATTGTCATTTAAACCTTACAAAATTCTTATAGAAGACTCAGTGTCCCAGCCAACGGTTTCAAAACTTATCAATACACTTTGGTCTCCAAAACTGCTTGAGCGATGATTTTTTCAAAAACATCCTGGATTTGTTGGCACAAGTACTCATTTGAATACTGTCCAAATTGAATACGTTTGAGGTTCCTCTCATGGTCTGAGTCTGCTGTATTATGAGAGTTATTAGTATTTGTACTCCAACACTGTACAGGATAAGTAGAGGTTAGTGATGCCTCCGAGATGCAAATCCTACCCAGCTGGATTAGAAGAGACACAACGTCTTCGATCAAAGGAGGAAATGCTTTGCACGTTCTAGCGAGGGCTGGTAATGTTGCCACGAAAAGTTCAACTCTGCTATCACTGCACAGAACTGTAAGGAAAACGTAGATTTATTAATGAATCGATTCTTGAGAGCATTCAATTCAAACACATAGTCAAAATCACTTATGCATTATTACCGTAGCCACATTACTTCCACATACAAGTAATTGATATGTAATTTTAAAAAATAAATTTTACGTTTTTTGCTTTTCAAAATATACTTTTGCTGTCTCTTACAAAATGCAAGGGAGTTGTGTTAAGACGTGATCATGCTTAATTTGTCACTTTGAGGTTATTGAGGCTATAGCTTTGCTGACAGTTACGAATGAACGGGAATAAAAAAAAATACATTTACACCCTCAGCATATTTAAGTAAATTCCAAAAATGAATGAGAAAAATCACATATTCTACTGAGAAATTGTATTTTTTATGGAATTTAGAAAGATAGGATTTTCTTTTACTTAATTTTCTTTTCTCAGATAGTCATACCATAATAACGATAATGAACTGGACATTTTCATTTAATTTTTAGTCAGTTTTAAATTTTGACTGGAATTAAAGCTCTAATTTAAACCATTCAAAAGTTACAAAAAGGAGCACCTTTTATAGATCTTATTTCTGCCATAAGCTTACTTAGAAAGTTTAAAAGTGCTCTCAGGGCCTGAAGATCTTCATCTCCCTCATCCACATTAAAAATAAATACTACACAATTTTCAAATAAATGAGAGCTATCAATTTGTAGTTTTCTAAAAATGATTTTTCCCTCCATTCATCAGCATATCCCAAGGCAATCTCTGAAAATACTCAAGTAATTTACCTGTTAATAGAGTAGAGAGGGTATTGACAGCAAGACGTGCGACACTCATTGATTTGGGTAGTGCATATTGGATGGATAGATACGAGATCAAGTCCACAGCAAAAATTTGCTTGTCCAATGACGGCTGACTGAGAAGTTCAGGAATAAAATCTAGACAAATATGCATGGAAGGTATTCCAGGTACAGAGACTGGAAGTAAGTCACATGGATATCCCTGCAAAAACAATTCAAAATCCAGAATGTTTAAAAATTGTATTAAGAATTAGCATGAATATTTTCCATCAATACTTACTCTATAAAAATTGAATTAACCTTAGAATGCAGATTTTGTGCCGAAGCGTCTTAAAAAACAAAGGCTGATATTCTGCATCTTAGTTACAGTGCTTACCTAAGTTGATGAAAAAAGCTTCGTAACGTCAGTCACATCTATGTTTTCAGTATTTCAGGGAGCATATGAGGGGAACAAAAACTATTCTAATCTAAGAACTCGATAAGGCACCTAAAATTACAACTATATAAACGTTCAATCTCAAAAAGAAAGAGGCTTTGGCCAAATCCTATCTTGGTTTAAAAATACAGTCGAATTAGAGAAGGACACATTAATTGAGTAAATAATTTTTTACATATAAAAAATGCACACCCTTGAAATATGTTTCCAGAGAAAACTCTTGGGTATGCTTTAAATTGGCCTGTTGCAAACTTTTGCTACAGCAAAAATAAGAGTTGGTCCTTAAAGATAATGTCTCAAAAATCATATTGAGTGCATCGGCAAACTCTGAAATGCACTCCTAACGTCACAATTTACGTAAGAAATTTGTGTTTTTTTAAGATTCCCGCTTCAAAAAGGATACTACAGCACAGGTAAATATTTCGTTAGAGGAGTCGTTCCATTCAATCCCTGCTTAACGTGGCCGACGCTTCCGCGCGCAAGTTGAGGAGAGTATGGGTCAATTAAGGCGGATATTTATCAACGCGAGAAAAATGTGAATGTAAACACACCGATTGTTATTAGGTGGTTAGAATCATCATCCCATCACATGTGTTTTGGCAGATTGGCATCGGCTATGTTGTATATTGCGTAGTATCTTAGTGAGCAGGGGTTGGATGGAATGACTCCTCTAACGAAATGTTCACCTGTGCCGTGGTATTGTTTTTGAAGCGGGAAGCTTGAAAAAACACAAATTTCCTGTGCAAATTGTGAAGTAAAGAGTGCATTTTAGACTTTGCCGATGCGCTCATCGTGATTTCTGAGACACTTTCTATGAGTAACAACTCATATCTTTGCTCTAGCAAAAGTTTGCAACAGGCCCACTGACAATATAATTTTAATTTTCAGCCTTTCAGGTTCAACAACCCTCTATAACACAAACCCTTTTAACATTCTTTGAAGGTTTCAAATAAAGCTGCACTGCTCAGAACTGGAAACCTTGTGTTCTGTATCAAAATTTGGTTTGTACATTCCAAAAGCAATTGTTTTGCATACTTTGTTTTGTTCTTTTTTTACATTCATTCTAGTTAAATCGAATTTGACTAGGAATTAAAACTGACCTGAAAGTGCACTAATTTGACTAAATTTGGCTCTGCTATAAAGATTTGGTGCAAAAAGGAACAAATAACACTCCGCACTTCACGCAAAGCCCAGAACTGTCCATTTACTTCCTGAAAAAAGAGCATATATTTAGAAATAGTTTGGAATAGCAGCCACTGCAAAAACAGGTTACACTAAGGAGTAACCAAAGGAACTTATGAGACATTTTTAAGTGCTTTGAAAAATGTGAACAAAAGTACAGCTTAGGGTGTCTACTGGTTTGTCATCTAAAGTCCTTTCTTTATCACTACTTTTTCCTAACTATTTCCATACTTCTCAAAAATTCCTCTTTCCAGAAGTTTTCCAAAATTCTTGATTTTTCATAGTCAGCCTCTTATTTTTTTCTTGACTGAAACGCACTTTAAATTCTGACCAAGTCAGATTTTCAAAAATGATTAAATAAGTAGGATTTGGAGTTAAGAGTGGAAATTCTATGGTGGCAAACTGAAACAGCAGAATCTAACTGAGAGGTCTGAGATTTCCTTACTGAGGAACGTAAAATAATGAATTCATAAAAATTTAATACCTCCAAGGCTCTTTACTTTAATTCATCAAGAAAATCTTAAATTTTCATACCTTCATGTACAAAGATCCATATTTTTCCGTTCCTCTATACTAACCTGATTTTCCCTGCTTTTAAGCTACAGTTGTTGCGATAAAAACCACAAAAAAGAGAAGAAAAAAGTGGGGTAAAATCTTACCCTATCTTTGTAAGTTTCCTGACAAGCTTCCAACAAAATCTGCACGGCAACGCTTTCTTGAGCTGCAATTAATGCATGCTTAAGATCATCACGTTCATGTTCTGAAGTTAAATATGTTCCGTTGTTGATGGTGTTAGCCGCACCAGCTGAATTGAGAGGATTCTCTTGAATGTGTTGGTGGAGCTGACTTCGCGAAGCGGCTAAACACGCCTGAAGAACATGCAGAAGAACTTTCAGGATTGGAGCACACCTAAAACAACCAAAAAATAAATACTGTGTCTTTAATGAAGCACAAATAAAGGCAAAAGAGAGAAAAATACATTGTGTATCTGTGCAGGCTTTAAGGTGATTTGAACGACCAAATTTGAATCCAGATCCAGTTTGGAGGCATGATTTCATAGTTTTGGTTCAGTATGTTTCATTCGAGGACTCAAATTCAAAATGTTTCTTTATTGCAGTTGAATCGAGGTTGCCACAAAATTTAGAGAATAAAACTCCTTGACCATTTCCCTGTCACATGTTTGTAAAATTTCCTGACAAATGAATATGTATCAGATGGTTAACAGACATTATTCAGAATGATTTTCACGCAAAATCTGTTGTTCGAAACATCAATCCATCCTAGAAAGCATGTAGAGGTGACTTAACAATTTTTTCCCTCACACTTCCGTCATTTCCCCTAACATTACCAGGTTTTCCCTGACATTTCCTGGTATTCCCTGACTGGCGACCCTGCTGAATATTCAACTTTGAAATAATGATGCAGATGCGCAAGTTGAAACCAAATTGCAAAGGCAGTTGAAGCAAAATTGAAGTCAACTATGACTTTAAAAAAAAATAGTAATATTAAATATTGATACATTCCTATTTTACATAATCCTTACCCTGAGATTTGAAAGTAAGTAAATCTTACCTAAAAACTCTAGTATCACAGCGAAGAACTTGAAGTGGGTCCAAGATTATATTTTCTTGGTTCAGATTAATATTTGGTAGCATAGTTTTTTCATGGACAAGCGCATTGATTGTCATTACCCAAAGGCACCGGGGAAGAACTGTGTTCAGCTTCAGCCAAACTTGCTTATATAATTCTTGAACATGTCTTGGAACTCCAGGGTCTAGTATGTTTCTGAAATGCGCAATTATCGTATGCGCGTATGACCAGATTTGGGTTGGCAGCATTGACAGAAGCTGCATAAGCAATTGGCTTGTATGAGATGGACATGTTGCCATCACGCTCAGGGTATCATTGATCATTGCCTCAGAGATTGTGCGCGTATGTGTCTCAGCTATGCATTTCAAGTCTTCATCATCCAGCCAGTCATCAACCAATGACAGATGCGGAAAATGTGTAGCGAGCAGACGAAGCAGTGGGGAAAAGAGTCCAGCAAAGTTTTGCTGATGCTTCTGAGCTTGCTGCAGTAAGTATTTGATGGGCAGTTCAGCTAGAAATTCATTTGAGTACTTTTTTATTTTGTTTTTATTACTCGTATTTGCATTTATAATTGGCATGTTGCTCAACCTAGAAAAAAACACAACAGAAATAATTAAAAGCTTAGAATAAAAGAAAGGGCCAACACTTCAAAATTCAAGAGATACTGAGAAAGCTTTCATCACACACTATGAAATTCATGATACACCTCTATTAGTCTCGCATAAAAATAAACTCCTTGAACCCTATCGATGCGAATTCTTGGCCCACAACTTTTTTATGCATTTCCCCCTTTTGATGGACGAATGAATGATAGCAGAAAGGTAAATGTGTAGCACTGTCTGTTGGTGTGAGATTAACTTCAGCTTGGCGTGGGGATCAAAGCTGTGGTTGTTGTGAAAAACCATATTCAGGATTCATGGGGTCAAAATAATGGTTGGTAGGTACATACTCATGAGGACCATTTTCATACCCACACTTTAACTTCATTTTTCTGGTTTTTTCACCATTTGAACTTTGGATGCACACATACGGTGTCCCAAAAACCTCTTCATCAACTTCCGTATGAGTAAAAAAATGATTGCATCTGCATTTTATCTCTTTAGAAATGAATATTGATGAGAAAGAAAATTATACAAACAAACCTGACGTCTTCATACAGAAGAACATAGTAAAGTAACAGTAGTTGAGAGGTTAAAGATGCATTACTGTCAGGGCTTTCAGGAATATAGGTTTTGCTTCTGCCTTTTGAGACTGTTCTTGTGCAACTGCGAAAAACGATGCGAATTTCATCTTCACTGATTGGCTGGTTTGTATTTTCATAGGTCCCCTTTACAGGAAACAGGATTGAATTGACATAAACTTCAACTAGAGCAGGTAGGCAAGGGTGCAAAGGAGGGACACTAGAACATATCTGACGATAGATCCAATCTTTAATGGATACTTTGTACTTTGTGAACGCACGACTTTTCAACAATTGGTGAATACAGTGGATTGGAAGGAAGCCACTTATGTTACCATTTAGATTCGTCGTTACTGGAACTTTGACAGCATGAGAAGTGACAACCTACACAAAAAAGAGAAGTAAAAAAATTAATTGGACAGCAGGAAAATTGGTCCTTGCCAAATTATTCACAAATATGGACATGAAAAAAAGAAAAGATTGTAGAGATTATTTACCGATGCTTGCATGGATATGGTTCCTCTTGATTTAAATACACTCAATTACAGTTATTGTTGTTGTTAAAACAGGGTACGAAATTAAGCACCACAATAAATGTTTCCAATGAAAAAAATAGGGCTCACAAACAGATTATGATCTGCTGAGGAGGTCAAAAAGATCCAAACCAATAAAGATCCCTCGACGTAATGCCATCTACCTGCATCTTCTTGTGCTGAGCACTCTCCCTCTTTAGTTTTGCATTGAAACTCATTAGTTCAATTGGTAACCCTAATTTCAATTTTTGGATTTTTCGGCTTTTTTTAAGGTATCCTGGAATCCATAAACTGAAGAGATGGGGTAATTATGGGGAGAAATAAGTTATAAAAATTGTTCCTGACCTGTTCTGTGAAAATTTCTTGCGTGAAAATAACTTTCATCCGTGCCATAGTATTATGTCTGATGGGAATTTTCATACCAATTGTAGAACACACAAGATCACAAATTGCACTCAGCTGATTGCTATGGAAATGAATTGCCATCAGGAGCAACATCTCACCGAAAGAAGCTGATATACCACTGGCACTAAAAATCAGCGAACAGATAAAAAATTTATTAGGCATAAGTTACATGACAACTGTATGAAGATAACTGCGTATCCTTTCTAATCGGTCTGTAAACTGTGCTAGGAGGACTTGGAAGGTTGAGCAGATTTTATAAACAAATGGGATATGATCTACATTATTTGGGAAGGTATTGTTAAAAAATGTAAGACTTTACAGCCAGCAACAAGAAAACTTTGAGAATAAGCCTGTCAAAATACTTTTATTGAAATTTTTGAGTATGAGGCAGGGTTGCCATAGAATTTAGAAAATAAAACTCCCAGACATTTTCTGACCCATTTTCGTAAATCCCGGACGACTGAACATATGCCAGATGGTTAGAGAGACATAATTTGAAATAGTTTTCAGGCAAAATGTGTTGTAGGAAACGTCAAACCCATTCTAGAAGGCAAGTAATTAGTGAAGGTGACCTATCAATTTTTAACTGAAACTTTCGTCTTTTCCCGACTTCTTAAAATTCCTTGACATTCTCCAGTTTCCCCAGTATTTCCTGACTATGGCAACCCTGATAAAGGAAAATTTCTATACCCTCTCACTACTGATTTTTTAATTTCATACTTCCATTAATGTTCTCCAACAGTGACATTTTGAAAGCTGAAAAAAACAAAGCAAGCTGCAATAACCGGACTTAAAACACTTCATATGTAATTGAAAATATCAATTAAATGCTGTGCTGAAAACATTAAAATTTCAACAAAAGTAAGAGTTTGACAATGTCTCTTCAGAGAGGCAACCAGAGCTGCATGAATCTGATACCAAAGGAATCCTGTACATAATTTTGAAAATTGTCTCACAGTGCCCTCTGCCTTAAGTAATGCAAGTTCTAGTTTAAACCTAGAATCCTTGGGGGCAACTGAACCTTGAGCTAGTTGGTGATGAGGATTGGCTTGAAATTAAAAATACATGGACTATTTGGACGTATTTATGCTAAAAGGAACTATGCCCCACGCAAACCCTATGCAAATAGTTCCTTTTAGCATAAACACGTTCATTTGATTGTACAGAAAAGCAAACCTTTCAAAATACGCCTCCTCCTTAACTAGCCACCTGACCCACTCAATGCTTTTTGTCTCGTGTTCTTGAATACTTATCAACGATGGGCAAGCAATCAACATGCACAGGCCGAGTGAGACGAATCGGACACCCTCTGGCGATGGTGTAGGCTGAGAGGTCAAAAGCTGAACGATGAGTGAAATTTCATTTTCTTGAAACCTAGACAAGGAGTTGAACAGTGCTTGGTTATTCAAATTATAGTAAAGAGAATTTAAATACTTAAAAGAAGCACAGGCAATTTCCAATTTTAGGCAAGATGAAGCATGAAAACCGGTTTTTTTCTTTTCTTTTTTTTTCTTCTAATAATACAGTATATGATGGAAAAAAATTTCAAAATCTGGAGCAAAGCAATAGCGTTTTTTCCTGGCATGGCAGAGCATTTTCCTCTACCTCAGGAGTATCTTGAATGAAAGAAATTGAGAAGTTGGAGTTCTTTAAATTTTGGTTTTTAAATGTTTTATTACTTGGTGTATAAAAAACTGATTCCTTGTCCTATCATTGCAATATGCAATTCTTAATAAGAGAATCAAGTGTAAAGTTGCACCAATTTGATCATGACTTACTTTATTCCAGCAATTCCTCGCAAAGCACAATAAAGCCTCAACAGAGCTGAAGCTTGAACTACATGAGATTTGGGCAGCTTTCCTCCTTTAGAGAGCTCTACGATTTCTTCTAAATGATGCAGTAAGGCTGTCCTCAGTGACTGTAAAGCATTGTTGGATTCCTTGTTTCGCTAAAAAAAAAAAACAAGACCATATTAGCAATCCTCTTAAAATATTTGCACTGTAATATGAGACTATATCACGTGCTTAGAATACTATCTGCATAAGCCATGATATCTCAGAGAAAAATCGCTCAAAAGTTACATGCCTCATCTGATTCGATCTTACAAAATGATTTTAGGTGCTAAATATGTTCCGCAGATTTACCTCAGTAAAATTGTTTCAAAATTTTGACTGTGTTTCCCTCATCTTAAAATTGTTGATTGTAGGAATTGTTCAGTAACGATTTTTTGTTCTCAAACTTGGTTTCTTAAGTTTTTCAGTGCTTTTGCACCTAATAATGAAAGATCAACTTGATCAAACTTCCAGTTGTGGTATGGTTTTTTCTTCTTTTTTCTTTTAAACCCTGAGTCCCACTTTGCCTGACTCTCATTTCAGTTTGCAAACATTTGCAATGGGTCACTAAACCATAAGCGAATTTTGACTTGCGAATATAGTTTTCTGAAGGAAAATGACGCGTTTAACACGATGCGAACATTAAAAACGCGAACAAGTAACTCAATTACCGAGAAATGCGCAGTTCAAATCGCTCAACCTACACGCAAATTTAAAACGCCCCGGTTTTGCGCCACACCGAATGATGTCATCTGGCACCAATCAGAGGCGGGCACGGGTTTCCACGACGTCTGTCAAATGTCTATCTACTCTTCGTATATGAGAACAATACTAAAGTCGAAATTATATCTTTTGGATTCAAGACTAGAATCACATTCATATGTTACCTGTAATAAACAAGCAACAACTCCACATCGAAATACGTTTTATTTTAACAAACATTAGAGGAAAATGAGAGAAGATTGCGCTATGACTACCGCAGTACATCAACCGCGTCAGTTTTCCGCCATTCGGGTGCGTTTGAAATGTCTTACAGTTTTTAGACTTTTCAAAAGCGGTTTTCTCCGCGATTTTCGCTCCATGAAAACGCGGAAAAATCATCACGTTATCTCCTCACATAGTACTTTCAGAATATTCAATAAAATAAACAAGGTTTAGTGACCCATTACCGCCCTCACAGAACACTAAATACATTACCTTTTGACGATTGCGTATGAACATGGCAAACCAGTTTCTGGTAAATTGATCATTGCCAAGAAGTAAACCAGAGACGAATGCAACTAAATCACTAGCATCACTTCCACCATGATCTAGAGTGAGGGAAATAGTTAAGGCAGGCATTCTACACAACTCCACCTGAAAATATGAGAGTAGACTTCATTTACAGTAGACCTAAAAAGGTATCGACACAGTAAAATATGCAAGGTTCAAAATGGACCTTATAATTACATCATGAGGCACCTATTGAACTCTTGGCTGGACTAAAATAAGAAAAACATTTTTCTTAGGCATGTATTTTCACGGGTAACTTCTAAACTGTTAAAATCAGCAGTTACTTTGGTAAGGAATATTTTAGCTGGAGCCATTTTAGGTTCAGCCATTTTAGGTTCTAAAATAAATTACAGGTGATAGTTTTAAGACAAAAACACCAAAAAGTTAAAATCAAGATACTGGTTCTGTTGCTTAGAGGAGTGTTTTACCAACACTTTGGCATAAAAACTGCTTAACAATGTCAAGCATAACTGGAATTATGAGGGTCAGGGTTATATTGAGCAAAATAAAAATAATGAGGGCATCTAATGAATCAAATAGTGAGGTTTGGAGACAACTCTACTCAAAGTTGCCTCCTGCCATTTTTGGAGCTTAGAATCGTTGAACGAAAATGAAGCTTCACACTTTGCGTAGCATAAAAATAGACTAAATTGGAAATATATACTCGCAATGCATTTTTTGGGATGATAGTGAGTTGTTTTTCATTCTGATTAGTGGGCCTAACTCGACAAAAATTGTTCTCTATATCCTGCGGTCCCTTTTCCTGTGGTCAGTCATATTTTTGGGCTTTTTAATTAGTATGTTCAGTAAAGACTGTCAGAAGTCTCCCGTCTCCAAACGAGCGACAGGATGGTAACGGCTATAGATTTAGGCTTGAAGGAGACTGTTACTAACAAGAAACTATGATTGTCACAACATAGATATAGGGCCTAGTTTTTCTTTCCACACCTAGCCTCACAAGGGTAAGATATTCAGGAACTTACACATTTTGAGCGAACAAGGAAAGCCCCTGGGGGATACATTTCGCATAATGCGCTTAAGGCTTGTGTCCGAACTTTGACACCCCCATTGTCTTCTTCTTGCTTATCACAGTTGGAAATCAAGCTGATTGCAACTAAAACATCAAATGGAGAAAAATTTATGGATAAAGAAAAGCTTAAAAGAATATGCAATTGTAACAATAAGATGTCTCGAGCATAAAATACAGTTTTTACACCTCTAAATTCCGAAATTTTTGAGGACTTAAGCAGCAGATATTGTATTTGATTTCTTATTGCACACTTGTTTGAAAAAAAGAAACTGCTTTAAACATACTAGTAAATATTGCACCCATCACTTCAAGCTGATGCGAATCTGAAAATTCTCATTGGTAACTTTACTTGTAGACTTTTACGAAGGGAATCTTCCAATGTTCAATCTAAAGCTCCATATTAGTAGAGCAGAAGACTTAATTATTTTCTAATCCTTCGATCATATCATTAGTCAAAGTGCGAAACCATGTACCTCCACTGCGGCGTTTCAAAATGTCTGCTACTACTGTATTTTTTCTGAGAGGAACAAGCCATTTCTATAGTTTGACATTCAAACAGATTAATCTGCCAACAGAGAAGAAAAATCAGAGAAGTTCTCAAATAATTACATTGTCTAGTTTTCCCGAAAAAAAATCAAGTTTGACAGGAAGTTACAATGTTGCAAACAGAGATAAGTGGTTTCACACTTTGGCCATTTATATAAGTTCTTAGAATATGATCAGTGAAATTACAGAAATCAGAATTTTGTGCCCAAATTTTTGACACAGATCGAAATGGAGTTGAGACTTCAGCTACATTACCTTCATTGAAACAGTCTGGAAAATTGGCAACAGTCCAACAAATAATATCGGGGCCATGCTTGACATGTAAGAGTATTTCCACCATGTCCGTTATGGATAGCAGGCAAGGCAATTCAGCCAGAATCAAACTAATTGCATCACTGACTTCTGGTACAAAAACAGGGTAGTCAAACAAATCCGATTGTTTAATGTAAAAGTCAGCATCATTTTTATGCTCCGAAATCTGAAACAATTACAAGAGACAGTCTAATTTAATATTATTTTCGAGGAAGTTGTTTGTATCGATAGAAAACCACTGTCCGACATAAAACTTAAGAACAGAAGAACTTTAGTCAGAAGAACATGATGAATTTGATTTGAGACTAATATAAGCCATACGTACAGGGTGATCCATAAGACTTACAGCACTTCCGTAACTCTGAGATATCTTGCCCCTTTTCAGAGAGACCCCATTAGAATTCTGGGGGCCACTAAAAGTAGTTTTCTTCACAAAATTTCAAGCTGTCTAAATCAGAATTTGTTCCAAAGTTACAAGGGTAATTTCTGGTAATAGTGGTGCAGAATTTTTGGATCACCCTAAGCCACTTCAATGCCCAATTGCCCAATCAGCAGGCAAATTGTTGAACATATATAACAGCATCGTAAGACAATGTAATGACATGATTGCACAGTTAAGACACTGCTATGTCTTGTCTTATCATAACACACTTTTGGGGCCGCAGGACCGTCAGGTTGACATTTATATTTCGTTGCAACAACATGAAGTTCTTCTGATTCTGCTGCAAATGTACTTGTGCCATCCAAAATAAGTTGCTTTCAACTGAAAAATATTTGGTCTCAGTAGCCGGGTTCATCAAATTCAATTCCTTTGGTTCTCTCAATGGTAGAAATCTTGAGTTATTGATTGGTCATAATTGACCACAGTGAGCAAATATTGAGCACAAGGTTATCTTTTGGTTTGATTGGCTGTTGAAAAATTAGAGGATAAAATCTGACTAACCTTTGACTGTATGAACAGAAGTTCACTGAGGACTAGTCTCAGACGCCTGACAGAATCACCTCTCTCATAATCCAGGGCAATGCCACTTTCAATGTTCTGAGCCAAAATACTTTCTGCCTGAGAGTTTCCAATCTTTTGTCTGCAAAACAAGAAAAGAACTGTTAGTTAGATTTCATGCCAACTAAGATTATGCGCTTTTAGACTGCGACATAGGATCCACCATCTTGCTTCTTGCATTTATTTTCCGCGCGAAAATGACGTCAGGCGATCTTCTGCTTTCAACAACATGGGCGATGCGCTGGCTCAAGATGGGGACAGAATATTCATGTTCTAAATACATGTATCAGTGTTTCCAAACGTACAGATAAGTATATCTATGCCTTACGGACCTTCCCTACACCTGTATGGACAGTGTGCAGACTAGGAGCGTATAAGGGAATGAAACAAGGTGGAGAAATGGTGCTGGGTCCACACCATTTCGCGGGGAAACATAGCCAAGAAATTCCGCTCCACCTTGTTGCATACAGTTCGGGCCACCTCTTAGTGTTTTTTTCATGTAAAGAAATGCTTCCCTTATCTTAAAAAATCTATGCTCAAGACATAATGGGCTTGCAGGATCCTAGCTGGGAAGCATACGGACTTCGTACCTAACGTATCCAAGGATGCTGCCGAATATTCGCTTTTGCTTAATCAATGTGCAATTTCCAACATAGCATCTTGCAAAAATCAATGATGCATGTGATATTAATAACTTCCTGCTTAAGTCAGCTCCAGACTATGCGGCATTCGCCGCGTTTTACTAGCCAAGTCCCGCATAGTCTGGATGGAACATTCGCGTCGATTCGCCTCATGTTGGCGCGAGGCAAGTCACTCGGCTCGCCACTCACTCCAACCTGCTCGGAGTCGGTTTTTGTGACACGAGTTAAAGGGATCTCAAGCGGGAAGCAGAATGTCCATCGCAACATCAAGATGCCATCCAAACTACTCGTCCTCACTCGCCGAATGTTCGCAATACGTATCCAGTATTCAGATGATGTTTTGTGGGAAGGGGGCGAAGAAGTGCAGCGTTTGACAGTGTTTTTCTTTCACTTGGCGAGCATTTCTTGTTTCCCATCAGAAATTTGCTATTTGCCAAATGACAAGCCAAGTACGACTTTCACGAGTAGAGTGGCGCTGTACATTCGTGGAAACGCTCGCATCTGCCCGTCGCTTCCCAAACCTCAAATATTCGTGACTCGGCTCGGAACTCAGCGAATGCCACATAGTCTGGAGCCCGCCTTAGGAATGAAACAGCACATTGGCAAATTATCTACTTTATTTTTTGCAATTTCCTGATGCATTTACAGTGAGTAACAAGATGATACATAACCTCAAGAGTTGTTCTCGTTTAGCGTCTGCTTCCAATCCATTGAAGTCCACAGATAAAAGAGCAACTATTGAGTTAACGAGTTCAACTCCAAGTAAAAAAGCCAACATGATTCGGCGATTCTCTGAGTTATTGAGGGTTGAGTCTGGAACAGATATCAGTCCCATGCGGACAAGGGAAGGTAGAATTGGTCGAATTTCTTCTTCTGATAATTTTGTTAGTTTGGTCACGTCCATATTCAAGAGAGCCCGAAAAGCGGTTGACGAAACAGAGAAGTCGAAATTCATGTTGATCCGTAAAATTTAACACAAAAAAATTGGAATAAAGCTGAAGTAACGCACGCTCAAGCAAGCCGGAGTTGTTTGTTTACATTCTGTTAAGTTTGAGGTTAAGTCATGGACCAGTTATTCTCTACTCTCCCTTTGCTACTCTCCGGAATGAAGAATGAACATTCAGTCTTTCTTGGTTTTTGAAAATAGTGATTCTAGTCTGTATTTCTTATTTAAAACAATTTTTTCATGTATGCTTAGCATGGTTTTACTTAGTGTCATGGTATATATGTAGTAGTCATCTATCAGAGGGATCGCTCTTCTGAAAAATCATGGAAAAACCTGAAAAGTACTTTGAGGGCTGCGGTCAAGAAGGTCCCATTCGATGCATATTTTTATGTGAATTTCACCATGTAGCAGGTCCAAAAATAACATGTCAGGTCTGCATTCCATGTTTTCAGTTTTAGCTTTTCTTTGGCCTAAGTCCGTAATCACGTATCTCGTTTGCGGTGTCTGAAAATCTCTGCCCCATGTTATTTTTTTAAAATGAGAACAAATTGACATCATTCCTTGAAGTTTATGCAGAATTTTCTTTGCGCAGAGCAGAAAAATCACGGCAGTTTTAGAGAATTGCCGTTGAGTAATTTTCTGTTTTAAAAATATAGTATGACAGGAAGTCTGCGATGTCGCAAACGGAGTTATGTGATCGCCGACTTACACTGTCGAAATGAACTTATTATATTATTATAGTATACTAAGATGGAGTGTTGACAGAGGTGTCAGAAAAGTTTACAGTTGTTTTAACAGTTTTTCAAGTGACAATTTTGTTGACAATTTTTCTGAAGAAATTGATGGAAAATCTGCGTCATGGGAGCCTCCAAATGCGCCCAAATAGATTTAAAATTCTTCAGGAAAGGCCCCCTGGATCCCCCTCAACTGGGGGATATGGAATACCCCCCTATGGTAGAGGCGGGCAA